CCTCTTGAAATGTGAGGATAACTTGTGATCTCTTGACCCTTCAGGGTAGGGGAGGAGCCGTGCCAAGGCCGTTCTCCTTGCAAGTGTTTGATGAAGTTGCACAACAACAACAACAACAACAACAACAACAACAAGGTACAAACAAAAACTGCAACCCCGTTACACCACATCTTCTTTTTCTCTACAAGGGGGTAGAAACAAATTCTGCAACCCCGTTGTTGTTTTTTGACCCCCCCTAAAAAAAACAACCAGACAACAAGCACTTTACTGCTACTACTACTAGTGGTACTAGTGCTACTACTACTAGTGGTAGACACCCCCCACCCCAGGACGTGTGGACAGTGCGCGGGGCGTGTGCGGAGGCGGAGGGGGTGGAAGAGGGGGTGGAAACCCGGTTCTCAATCTATGCACTGAAAATCAGTCTTTTCTTGGAGACTCCTGGAAGTTTTTGGATTCCAATGGAACAATATGGTCGACTTAAACGCCTTCTTAGGGTCTATGAAACTCCTCTGAGGGTCATGCTACTGGTGATGCTTATTGTAACTTGTTAAGTAAACCCTGCAAAACTTCTACTTAGAACCTCTACCACGTCCTAGAAACAAAAACTGCAACCCCGTGGTTGTTTTTTGGACCCCCCCCCTTCCAAAAGATGTTGTTGTCTCTACCCCCCCCCTAGAAACAAAATCTGCAACCCCGTTGTTGTTTTTTGACCCCCCCCAAAAAAACAACACAACAAAAAACAAGAAGCAGGCCAACCAAGACTTGAGTACCACAACTACAAGAAGTCCAGCTACTAACATCTCTCCTTCGACCCTATCCCTAACAGAATCCCATTGAAATCCCTGACTTGCAACATGTGACAACTATGTTGGGCGGCTGTTTTTGTCTCTAACAACAACAACAACAACAACAACGAAGAGCATGTTGTTGCAAATCCAAAGATAAAGATAACGTAGATTGTCTCATCCATCAGCTATTAAAAGCACCGATAAATCTGCGGTGTGCTCTCTCAGAACTCTCAGGCTCTGGCCTTGCTGGTCCTGGATGTCCTTCTTGGCTCCCGCAGCGAGCAGCGCTCGCGCGATCTCCACATGTTCTTTGATGACAGCCACATGCAAAGGCGTTTGGCCTCAGGCATCGCACAGTGTCGGCAGCTACAGTCCACACAACTTTGCAAAAGCAACATTAAATTGAACAATGCTCGTTCGGTTCACCCCAACATCAAGGCATCCCACCTCTATCTCTGATAATCTGGATCAAATTGTCACTGATACTCACCGGCCGCAGTGAAACCAAGGGATTGCAAATGTCTTGCAGAATCAGCTGTCACTGCAACTTTCAATTGTGAAGAATAGTGAGGATTTCGAATGACCTGTTGCTTAGACCTTTTGGCCTCAAGAGACTGCAGCACAAGACAAAAGAGGGACAAACAATGACACAACAAATGTTCAGGGTCTTACGGAAGTGGCATTCCGCTGATGGTGTCTACAAGTTTGAGGTTGAAAGACTTGTACAATCGCAACTGTCATGATTCTGCATAGGACTGGTGTTGCGAAAGGGCACGGTAAAGATTTGCCGCTTTCTACCTCTCACGTCAACCCTCGCCCAATTGTTTCTGCTCATTCCAAACAAAAGCGTTGAAGCATTGTGGATTGGTGCGTTACTTCCACTGAGCTTCCTGAGGAACTGGCCCTCGTTGTCTTGTGCATCCTTCGCTGCCCCAACAGCAAGCAGCTCCTCAACGATGTTGACATGGCCATGTTTGGCCCCCAAATGCAAGCAAGTCTTGCCTGCAGCGGTCCGTAGCACTGGGGGGTATTGGGCATGCTGCAGTCTCTCAAACCTTTTAGTCCAGGAAACTGTTGAGACATGTCTTGACTTTCGATCACTCTGGTGCGGCCGCGCCGGACGGAAAGCTCATCAGTTGCTACAGCTATACCCAATCTAGTGGCATCATGTCAACCTCCAGAAAATACAGTCCTTCTTATCAGGCACCATAATTAATCTGAGTTTTCTAAATATGCCGTGATGCCAACAGCAACCTACTGTTGGAGGAAAAGGCCGCGACACCCTATAAACTCATGTCAGGCGCGTCAAGCTGACAGCCCACCCGTCTTGTTGCGTCGTCTCTGCTAGGAGAGGGGTCGCACAAACACATGTACAAAGACACGTGTTGCGGATGCTGAGACATGTCCAGGCCTCCATCATCTTGGTCCTTGTCGTGTGGCACACCATGACAGCAATGTTGGACATCTGACATCCCACCAACAGTTCAACGAACAGAAACAAGCAGGTTTCACCAGTGGGCTGCTACTGCTTTTGTGGAGTTCCCTACTGTAGCGGTCATGTCGGAGGATAGAAGGTTCTGGGCTAGATTGATATCAAGAAACAGCAATCATTAAATAGCAAGACTATGATGCGGCTTCAAGATGTTCCAAAAGTCTTCCATGAGTCATGTTTGATCTACTCTTGTTCTTCAGAGAGTCTGAAGCATTCAAAACTCCACCTGTGTAATCCATCTACTGATCTACTTGAAAAAGGATTCTAAAGCTGGCGAATTGGCCACACCCTCTCCACATCTCTGAGCTGCAGACCGGAAAGCAGCAGTTCACACCTTCAGAGGTGGGTGGAGGATAGATGCAAAAAAATAATAGATATATATATATATATGTATATAAGTAGAGTAGAGGACAAAACCCATCCTGTCCCTCGTTCAAAACTGTGAAATGACGTTTGGATTGAGTCATATCGAATTTGCATGGTCCTGTGGGTCTCGGTGGGGGAGGCCGGGTGATTTGCTGCAAAGGTCACGATAACGTGGGTCGTGTGCCTAAAATCCCGTGGGGTGAGGAAAAATAGATGCATTTCATACCCAGTCATGCAAAGTGCCTGTGACCATATTGGTTCGGCAGAGTGTGTGTGGACAAAATTGAATATAGAAATTGCCAGGTGCACATATCACATAGACAAAGCAGTAGAAATCTTGACCGTTGGATTCGACAGAACAACCAGCAGCAAGCCAGCGGCAGAACTTTTCAAGTGAGTGCTGAGCGACTTCCCACCCTGAACTCCGGAAGCTTGCAATTTCCGACAATCCCACAAGACAACAATCCCACAAACCCATGAAACGAGGTGTGGATCGACACATGCCTCAAAACAATTCAGCAACTGCCAACCGCCTTGCGGCAGCAAGAATCGCTGCGACCCCCTGACAAATTCCACCCATCTGATTGAAGCAAAGCCTTTAAATCTCTACGACTGTCATTCCTAAGGAAACAGAAACCAGGAGGACACAGAATAATTCGCAACTTAGTCTAAGCACGCTTCTTCTCACATTCTTCCAACCAGGGAACCCATGGCCCACAGATGGACATGGATTCATGATGCCATCGCCAATCATCTAGCTCCCAACATCGCCCATTCCGACCAACCCTTGGGCTGCCAAGCAAAGATCAAAGTCACAGGCCTGCATGAAAGAGGGAAAAAGTGGGGGGAAACCTGGTGCTTCACTGGTAGAACATGTAGAAAACAGATCTGTTACTGGAAATCGGTGTAATACAAAAGACATGAGCTGATTAACTGCAATATGACCCCGTGTTCCGATGGTGTTTGGGATAACATGTATTCATGATCATTGACACATTGATCCAACCACTTTTTATAACGCATGTAGTGGCACTCTCAGTCAGATTGCCCATCTTCAGGGCATACCTTTCACGTGACTGGCCCCTGGTGTCATAAACTTGGGACTCTCTGGTCCGGGAGAGGTATTTGCTTGCGCAACCATTTCTTGCTTAGGTGTGCTGCGCGCATGCAAACGTTTCAAATCGGACCCACAAACAGCAACCCACTTCGGTTGCCCGTGAAACATGTCACTTGGTTACCCTTTTCATGTATGGTGAGGTGAGACCTCCCGCCAAGACTCTTCCCAATCTGCAGCACTACATGAAAATTATGAGGCGATCCCCGTGCCGCCTTACAATAATAGCTCAGCGGTTTGCCGCGGACCTGATGGAATGGAGTTCTGTGCAGGCGAAGGTGGAGTCGAACCCCAATGCAAGAGGTTTAGTTACGCACGTGCTTTTCCACAAAACTAGCTCACATGCGTCCTTCTCTACCTAGTTCAGTTGCTTTGCGCGGCTTGCCCCTAATCAAGCAGCCAACCTTGATTCTAGCCATCTCAAAATCCTAGGTCTTGTGTCGCATAACTACAGTGACGGGGGGAAACTTCCTCCGCCGTCAGCTCTTGGCTAGGTCCTCTTCCATCCTCTTCCTCAACATTCTCTCACCGCGCGGCTTGCCCTGTGGACTGTAAAGATTGCAAGTCCACCCTTTCTATGATATCGTATGGCACTTTTGGAATCACCCCCTACTACTAGTGCAGCTGCGCTGGTAGCAGCTCACGGACCTTTGCTTCCCTTCGATTACATCTCTGAATAGATTGTGCCGTTCTGAAATTAAATTGGGTTCCGTGGAGAGCATCGTTGTATCACTTGGTACAAACGCCAGTGTGCCCAAACCCTTTCAATACCTGCATGTGAACGCCCGCCTCTCTAAACACAGCATAACATGAACCAAACCGCGCGCAAATCGGCTGAAATCTACTCAGTTGCGTTAGACAAAAACGTCTGATCCTGCAGCCGCCGCTGCTACATGTAGAACAGTATTGAGCAGCTAACATCAAGGGCGAATCCAAGCACGACCTCTCCACCCCCACAAAGTTCTGCCTCACACCGCGAACCCATCACCACACCATCACAGCGCCAACCATGCCTGGGCCATGCAACGAAGGACGCACGTCAAAGGAGCAGAAAACTTCAAAGGGGGTTCCCAACACACAGCCTCGGATTCAATAAAGGCGGTGCGACTTAAGAACACTTCCAGAAACGAAAGAACTGCCACCACGTGAAATCATAACAATTACACTTGTTTTGAGTGCTTTTTTCTTTGTGGGTTCAATTAGACCACATTCATGGACAGCATTCACGGAAATACCACCTATTGCCACCTCGTGTGTAGTATATATGTGTGTGTGACATCAAACGCACTTAACTAATTATCCAATCACCTTACGACCAACTATCAATGCATGTCTCACTGTCAGCCAAGTCGAGTGCCACCTGTTCACCAGAAATGAACCGGTGTGCCAAATACCATGCAAATGAAAGGGTTGACCACACATAGCCGGATGATTATTGTACCGACTGGCCATTTATAGTTTGTTTCATCTGGTTGCTAGAACTTGCATGAGTTGCCAGAAAGGCTACATCATCTTCTGATCCCGAAGGCAGCGCCTCCCGCCGACATTCGTTGTCAACTGGTGCCCGTTTCGGCAAACCTGTCGGAGTGTTGGTGTTCACCAGAGGGCGCATGGGTTCCCAAAGAAGAAGGTGCTTCTTGAGGTGACATCAGTTGCGGTGACAGGCGAGGATTAGATCTTGACTGACACAATGAAAAGCACGTGTTAATCATCAGCAAACACAACCGGCACAATTCATGCGTTCAAACATCTGTCTTACAAAGCCCCTCCTTGTCTGAGCCTTTGTCCAGCAAAGCCTTTAGCGCATCCACTCGGCCCTCCTGCGCCGCCTTGAGGAGCGTCCAGCCTGAGCCCATTTCATGTTCATGGGCTTCTGGCCAAGCCCCCAATGGCAATTCCAGTGATCTTGCAAAAAGGCCATGGCTCAGATTTGCTCAACCATTATGTCAAAAGGACATGGAGCAGTAAATTAGATCCATGCTCACGGAGACGTCCGCATGAGACGAGATCAACTAAGTACTGTCACATCTGCCTTAGGCTACCTGCTGTCGAATGCCCCTATCGCACAAAGGCAAAGCTGTTGAATTCTTTCGGATGCTTTCTCGTGTCTGCACTCACGATGCCCCTGACAGTCTCTTTCAATTTGCCTGTGCGGCCTATGCACTTCATAACATCAGAACAGCCCAGCCCCTTTAAGATAGCTCACAACATGCAAGAACCGAATGCATTAGCAAGGACCAAAAGATACCCCACTAGTTTGGACAAACGCACAGGTGAGAATCCAGAAGCACCAAGGAAAACACAGTGACATCAGCGGCAAATCAACGCCACGGGCTCCCTGCCAGAAAAATCGCTTGCCTGGCATGCAGAAATCAGCATGTGATTTAATTGTTGGTTACACTCAAAGACTTTTGTGATACTCCAGAAAAAAAGGGCTATGACCTTGAGGCGTTTACAACGTGAGTGCTTAGAAACACTGGCACAGGGGGGGCCAACACTATTCACTGTCCGAAACGAAAAGATGAATGCGGGCGACTGACAAAGACTAAAGACGATAGATCCCAAAGAGCCAAAAGAGTTTTGTGGACCACTGGTTTTACCGAGGCGGTTAAATTCATATTATAATTATATATAATTCACCCAACCTTCCAACATATTCAAATTGACCACGCATGAGTTGGAGGCAGCCACCCTTTCACACGAACAAATTCTACTTTGTCTTAGCAGGTATAAACCGGTCCAATTCGGTTCATGGTAACTCATTCACAAGTTTGTTGGTCGTGGGCCTCAAGGAGCTCCAGGATCTGCATGCGGTCTCTTTCTCGCGCGAGGTCCACGGCGGTCTGCCCTTGTCAAAGGAGCTCTGTGGAGTCTGGAAGGCAATGTGGATCTACATTTGTATTGCCATCAAAAAGGATTTAATCACAACAACAGCCGAGACTAACGATTCACGATGTGGGTGTAGTTACATGCAGTGGCCTTTCCCTTTGAGAACGGTTCAAAAGTCTGCGAGTACCAAATGAAAACCCTTGAACCCACGCTTGGGAAATCCGCGCAGCGTGTGTTGAAGAAAAATCCTCTTATCAGCGGTTTCAATATCCGCTGAGCTGAGTTTTGTTACTGTGCTTTCTGAGCCAAACTATCAAAGTCAAAGGTAACCTCGGCCCTGAGGAGCTGACCCTCGTTATCTTGTACATCTTTTGCTGCCCCAACAGCGAGCAGCTCCTTGACGATGTTCGTGTGGCCATGATGCGCCCCCCAGTGCAAGGGAGTTCTGCCTGAAGCCGTGTGCATCAAGACTTTGGGTCTGATTCAGTGTCAGGATCCATCATTTTTGCAGGCATCGAAATGATATTAGATTATTAGACATTAAAACCACCACAAGCTGATACCTGTCCATGAAGCTTGCTGCATCTTTCGCTTTGCATGAAACTGTCGGCAACCGGTCCCAAGACAGTGTGATGTGCTCGCAAATGTGCACACACATTGCATGCAATCAAGACGGTGGCAATGCAGACACTTAAAAAGATCTGCCATCTCCAATGAAGTGAATGTAGAACATTACTTGAATAAAGACACCAGGGAGCAAGTGTGCTGCAAAATCCGGACAAAAAGTGTCAAAGTGGATCATCTCATCAACTTGAGGCAGTGGCCCTGCTGGTCCTGGATGTCCTTCTCGGCCCCGGCAGCCAGCAGCGCTCGCCCGATCGGGTGATGTCCGCTGATGGCGGCCAAATGCAAGGGTGAGTGGCCTGGAGCGGATCCAGCTTGAGAAGCAATACATAAGCTATGCAGCATGGAGACCAATGCTTCGCAACTTCCTTTAACTATAGCAGAATGCAAGGCGGACAACCTCGACCCTCCAGCGTTCTATTCTGAAGGTCTGAGAATCAGCAAGACGTAGTTGTCACCACCAATCTTCAGGCTCTTACCAATGGTACCCGCAAATGCTCTAAATGCAAAACTATTTCGTTGAGTTGTCTTCTGCTCACAAGCTTTATTAGACTGAAAGCTTTGTCATCGGAAGCGCAGCTGTTTCAATTCCAAAGAGCTTGGTTCTCTGCCACTTTCCACCCTGATAAGAACATTGGGCAACAAATTGAGTATCAGAAGATGTAGCAAATGAACACTCCAGCTTCTTGAACTCTCAAGTTGCACATATAAACCTGTTATGCAAAAAATGCCAGCGACTCAAGTCAACCCTTGCTCTGACCCTTCAGACAAATTGTTGATTGGTGCTTTACTTCCGCCAAGGTCTCTGAGGAGCTGGCCCTCGTTATCTTGTACATCTTTTGCTGCCCCAACAGCGAGCAGCTCCTTGACAATGTTCGTGTGGCCATGATGCGCTCCCCAATGCAAGGGAGTTCTGCCTGAAGCCGTCGGCATCATGACTTGGTGATACTTGGTGTATACAGCATTCCCTGAACATTCGCGAAAGATCGCAAAACCTTTAGCTTCCAACCCGCAACACTTTAGAGAGATGTGTTCAGTCCTAGAACACTCTTGTTGTGCACGCGAAGAAATGTTCTTTACCTGGAGCCCTTGGAGAGTTTTTGGACTTCTTTGCCGAGCTTGGACATGAGCCTGGACGTGCCTTGGCTTAGACTGTCTTAAACTCACCATAAGGAAGTCCCCTCCAGGCCTTCTTCATCATCTGTCTGGTCCTCGCAAGGGCGATGGAGGACACCAACACAACATTGAGAAATCAAAAAAGCAACCAGAAAAAGGTTGGAATGTGTGGAACACTGGGTAACCACCTTTGTGTGACCCAAGTTTAGAAGCCTCAGAGTTGATCGACGCCCGGCGTAAAATGCAGTGTGAGAAACACCCGGGATGCTCACCGTTCCGTCTTGCAAAGCCCCTCCTCATCGTCTCCAGTCTGAAGCAAAGCCTTCAGCACATCTGTCCGGCCCTCCTTTGCAGCCTGGTGCAACGTCCAGCCTGAGCCCAGCTGCTTCGCAGTGGGTAAATCACTCCTAAGTTAAAACAACGAGGACTGGGACTGGGAGGTGTCTCAGAAGATCGCAGAGGCATGCCAACAAGCAACAGCCACTGTTCTCAATTCTCTTGGTGCCACTGCCCAGTGGTCTTGCCAGGCGCAGTACACTCACAGCAAAAGCAGCACTGCTTGAAGGGAATGGTAAACTGCACACTTTGCTCCAATCTTCAGAAGTGGGTGAGATTGTTCATGTCCCTTTTGCGTCGACTAGCATGATGTACCTTCCCCTGAGTGTTGGGAGCATTATATATGGATGTATATGGCTTTGAGACTGCTATTATACGCTGAAGACGCCTTGATCAGAACTTTCTGCATCAGCAAAGTAAGCTGAAGGCAGTGCATTTTGAGGGAAGACCACATGCAAATTTAGGGCTACATGCAAGATGTGGTTGAAGTTTGTGAGAAAAAACACACCTCAGCTCCGTACCAGAAAAATCGATATCTGGCAGATTCAGATCCTCGTATAAGAGGTGAATGCAACTGTTTCACTGCGATTCCCGGCAAGGACAAACCATATCTTTCAAGTCTCGTCTGAGTGGTATCAGGTCTGGGGTGCTGCGCAAAAGAGATCAAGCCTTAGCAGGGTTGTCAAAGCCATCCGCTAGTACTCATACCGATACCCATTCCACTCGTTTCCCAAATTCCTATAGTTCTTCCAATCTCACTGCTCAGTGTCCTGGTGGGAAATGGTGATCCTGCCGCCGTTCTCAACCGTTGAGGCCACCACATAGATCTCCAAGTCTGGTGAGATCCCTCAGCTGCAGGTCTTGGGATAGGCATCAAGGCAGTCATATACTGTAATTGCAAGTAGTTTCTTGTGTCATCAGGCGTCAGCTACTCTCGAAGTCGCGTGCACATTGGGACTATTATTGCTACTTCCTATCAACGTGTGTGCTGAGATCAACACCAAAGGATAAAGGACTAAACCTTCTCCTTCATTGTTAGAGACATGTAACCTCATTGCTCAACCACCTTAGGCCTTGTCCAATCTATTCTCTGGCTGAGGAAGTCAAACGAGGTGCCAAAGGGCACCGTCAGGCTTTTGCCTTTGGGCAAGGTCACCCGCATCTCACCAGAGGCTGTGATGTCGAAGGCGAAGGACATGCATTCAAAGTTCAAGTCTTCCTTGGAGTTGCTTGGCTTTGAAGACACTCATAAACACAAACTGCTGAATTGCACAAGCCTTGGAGATCCGCCCAAAAGGAGAGTCCGGCTCCATCCCTGTCAAGCGATCCATAGCTCCGGCCCATCAGTTTTGTTTTTTGTACATGTTCAAGGACTTGGGTTTCAATGCACTTGGAGGCCACCCCAAAGCCGTGGAAACAAGTCCTCAGTTGCAATGAAGAATTGCAAAAAGCATCACCCAAGACCCAAGAGGGTGAACAAAGATTTGCCTCGACTGCTTCCTCTCCAACCAGTGTTCCACAGTTCCACATGCAGTTCCTGTGAAGGTGTTGACCACTGTTCACCACCAGCAAAACCAAAGAACTGGCTCTCGAAGTTCATTCAACCCTCTCAACAATGACTTGAGCAGTGGAGATTCATGTCAATGACAAGCAATGCATGGCAGCTTAGCTTACCCCTACAACTTTTTAAGTCTTTTGGGCAGAAATTGTAAATCTATGTAAATCTTGTGGACTGACAAACCACCCCCACTTCAAACTGCGGCCATGGCTTCATCGGCAATGGTGAAGTCCGTTGAACCTCTAGAGGTTGCAGAAAGGCCGGGCGAAAAGTGACTTCTAGGAAGGAAGAGACAAGGAGGAAGAAACTGCTCCTGGTTTCTTGGTTCAAAAGGTCTGGAGATAGAAATAGATGCCATCCAACCCCAAACAAGCATCCCATCTTTTCGGTCAATTCTTCGAGGCTTTACCTCAAAATTCTACTCGTTGTGAAGACTCTATTGAGGATCTCAGAAAATGATACCGCATGTTGTGGCTCACATCATTTTGCTAAATAGCATTGTGGCGAGTCGCGAGCATCCATACACATCGGACAGAAAGAAAAATCAACGACTTTCCGCTGTGTTCGCCTGCGTCTTCCGCTGCGATGCCGACCCCGTTGTGGAGTGCTTTCACCTGATTCCTCGTCCCTCGGCCGAAGCAAAGCGCCCAGGAGTGTTCATCTTGGCCAAAGAGGTAGGTCCGGCCACCTGGCGGCAGCTTGGCCACGGAGGCGTACTCTGACTGATTAGTGTCTGTTTGCAACGAGTCATGTACGCCGAAATGCGCTGCAACAAAAACGAGTTGCTGTACTTTGGTGTGGAATTGTCTGGGGTACTGCAGTCGTTTTGACCGTCCTTCCATTAGCGAATGTCATGCGTTGTAGGAACTCAGCAAAACTTTGCCGTGAATGGCGTGCATTCCTGATGAAGGGGCTTACAAAAGTCAACCTCTAAATTACAGGGCCATGTCGATGCACTTGAGCGTTGAGGCAACCAACTGAATGTGTTCGCCCAGCTGCTTTCATGTAGTGTGCAGTCGCTGGTGCCAACACCCACTGCCGCATGTGTGCCAATCATCCTGCAAAGGCGAATGAAACGACAACGCCATGAAACCGAAGCTCCGCAGCGCAGCACAATCATTGCTCCTGGACCTAAACTTGAAGTGATTTTGTGACTCTCAAGTTGATGCATGGCACTCATCTACAAAGTTTACCTTCCAAAGGGGCAGGAAGGTGAGGAAAAACATAGATTTGTGAGTTGTGGTTTGCATACTTGGTCTTACACATAGATTTTGACTTCGGACGTGCTTTGCCAGCTCAGCTCGATTCCTGAAGGTCACAAAGCATTTGGAGTCTCGTGGCAAAGACCCTTCTGCCCGCACTCCGTCGACCCGATTGTCAACAGAACAGCGCTGGAAGATTGTGCCATTCTTGATGGAGTTGCCGACGTCCCGCGAGCACCAGCCCCACACCTCACCACTGCAGGTAGGTTTAGCTTGCCAAACTCGGAACCTGCTCTCATACTAGTACTTCGGTTTTGCGGGGACCTGCGGGTGTGTTTTCACAGTGGGTGTGTCTCAACCTTCAGAAAAAAACAAATGTCAAATGCGGTGCCACAATCTCTAGATCAACAATACAGTTTGAAGACCCAAAGACTGTGTTGATGAGCACAACGGGATGGAAACATCACGAAAAGACCAGCTCTATTTGCACTAACCGCTGACCCATCTGAGCTTTAGATTTTTGTGTTTGAGCATGGAAGACTTAGCACTTCTTCGGAGAGCCCCCGGTGGCATTGATGCGCAAGGTCACTGAAAAGCTCCGCAAGATGGGAAATGTAAATGAAAACGCAATGATTGACGGGGGAGTCTTCATTTTGAGACACATCCATTTGCTTCGGCATTGCATTAGGCACCAGCTACGTTGAAAGCTTGGCAATCTGCTGGGGCCAGTACAAGGGTCCAAAGATTATGCTATCAAATATCAATTGAAAGTAATTAATTAGGGGAAAGTCAGGACGAGGTGGCAAACGCGGCCAAGCTTCGTGAGGATTGCCTTGCTCTTTCGCCTGAAGAACTGCACATCAATACCACTTCATGTCATTTAAACCCAACTGGCATCGATCAAGAAAGGTCCCGATTGCCATACCAAGGGAGCCCAGGTGTCGAGCTGTGCATGGACGAAACAGCGATTGCAACCGTTGGGGCCTTAAGGTGTGGTGTGTGTGTGTGTGTGTAGTTGGGCTATCTTCTTACCTTCAATATGATGCAATGTGTGAGCTGCGCTTAGTCAGCGGTCTTGCAAAAAGACTTGAACATCACCAAACCCTATGCTCTGAAAGCGCCCTGCAGAAGAGATACACTCATATTCTCTTGGTCACAGATGTACACAATGGTACGCACTCTCTCATCACAGACTCTCATACGCAACAGTACACTCTCATCACAGTTTGGCGGTGTGAAGCACTCTGCCGCCTCCCTTGCCTTCAGTGAAAGAAACAACAAGAAGAACTGACCATGATTGTCTTTCTTCTCAGCAGCACTGGCCTGTTCGCTGTCTTCTTCCAGTCCTTGCTGAACTTCTTCACGTACATCTCTTGGCTTTTCGTAGAGGAACATGTCGCCTGATTGATTCGGGCGTTGAAGCCAAACGATTTCGAGGTCAAATCGAAATCCTTGAATTGTAACCTTACTCCAGTGTATTTATAGGACCTGAGGCCAACCCCAAAACAATTGGATCATAGAAACAAATCCGAGGCTGCTTGCCAAGTCTCTGTAGTAGTACTCTCCCGGTCCGCGCACAGCTTCGGTTTCCGGCTCTTTCAGCAACTCCAAAGGAGGAGTTACTTCTGTCCGGCCGCTCGAGAAGATCGCCTTCGTGAGGCCCAAGAAGTCCATCGGGCTTTTCAGGTGAACGAAGGTCTCGAAGTTCGGATGGTGCCCGTGAGCCATGCCCATGCATACGGCACAGGGACTGATTTGCTTCATGCGCAGCCATCGCCACAAGTCTGCCAGTGTGCTACCGGCATCGTAGCAGCTGTTGCGCGTCAAAAGAAGCAAGTGCCGGACGCCGTCCGGACTTTCTGCTTTTTTGGCATGAGTATCACCCACCAACTTCTTGGCCGCTCGAAGGAGAGAGCCCACAAGCTCATAGGGCCCTTCATGTAGGTTGCTGTTGCAAAGGGCCTGGAAGCATCGCCTGGACATGAGCAATTTCGGCAGTTTTGGGGAAGTACACAGAATAAAAATGAATAACGGTACTTTTCCATGGAGGCCATTAGCTAGTGCTTGCACCCTCAAAATAGTGGAGAAAAAGTTATATAAAGTCAGTCAGAGTGCCTAGAATGTTCAGTCCAGGAATGCTCTCCAGCAGATTGATCCTTCAACATTCCATAGGCCGGGTGGAACACTGAAATGCTGAAGTTCTCAGCGCTGCAGGCCCGTGCAAGTGCCAATGCCACAACATAGAAGTCCTCATCGGGATCTTCTGTAGCAAAAGTGCCTGGATCCAACCTAAGTCTCGTGGGCTTCACTGCATTAAGACCATGTGAAAGCCTCCAAAAAGTCTGGGTGAATCTGTGAACAAAACGTGGTTTGGAGGCACAAAACCTAGGTTTGGCAGACCTTTGAAGATCTAAGCTCAGCCACACGAGGGAAATGCTTCTGACCACTTTCCCGCCGCGTTTTCGAGCTTGCCAAATATTTTGATTGGCTCCACCAGTGGCCACAAACTGAATGAGGCCAGGAATGCTCAATAGCTTTCCTTTCTTTGAAGGAGCAACTTGCGTGTAAAGGTTCCTGAGCACACTGCAAAACTGCAAATCTATCCGGTAGACCAACGGTCAACGCCTAACACAACATTTACCCGAACGATGACATTGAGTGGAAGACTTCTTGAAACTTCAGCTGAGGAATCGGTGGGAGCTGTCGCAAAGGCTCTCGAAACTTTTCCACCAAGCCTTGCACCTGAAGAGATCTCAAACAGCCAACAGCCCAAACAGCGGTCTCAAATGGGTGATTGCAGAGGAAATCGCGGAAGATATCTCGACCAAAACTCTGCAAACACATGCGTTTGAGCATCCTTCCCCTTTCAAAAAAGAACGATCAAAAAGCTGTGGCTCTGAAAATGCCTCCCAGGAACATCCTCGTCGTGGCTCCAAAACCTGTCCGTGTCTGGCGGAGCGCCCTTGAGCTTGGCTTCGCTGGTAGCTTCTAGCTTGTTCATTTCGTGGTCCCAGTCAATCTTGACTGCATCTGCGGGAAAGACACCTTGGCGTGGGAAACTTGTTGCAATCCCCTTGAAGAATCCAGTAATCTCTCACATTCTCTCACAAACTAAGAGGGCAAGTCAAACAACCTGGTGAATTCTGTTTACATGTGCATGTTTGCCTGTGAACTAATCTCATCTCCATGCTAATCTCTGAGCACACTCGCTCTGCAGGGTGATCTCATCTACTCTAGAACGGTGCATAACATCTGTGAAAAGTGCTTTGCAAATTCCTGGGCATTTAGGATCCCTCAATTCACACGTACCTCAAAATAAATCTGGTGACGGGAACTTTGACAAAAGAATATGGTTCTCTCCATGGCACGCGTATAAAGTTGCAGCTTCGTACTCGAAGAGCTCTTGGAAGTATCAGTGGAAGCATCGGTCTCGACCTTGTGTCGAAAGCTGCCGAATTTTCCGGCCGTCTCTGACTGCTTGAAATCGCACAACTCTTCCGGAATCTCACGGAGTTCGCGGCTGGGTCTGGCTTTCAACTCAGCTTTCTGTTCAGCTCGGAGAAGTAAGCCCAAGAATAGGTGTGGCAGAGATGTCATCTGCTTTATGTCCAATCTTTCCTGTGTTGGTTCACTGGAAACGAGCTCATATGTCATGGCGGATGCGATGAAGATCTGACCCACGAGAAGCTCTTTGGACTTAGTTTTCTCCTTGAGCTCTTCGACAGCTCTTTTATCGAATTCAGCCGGACTGCGTTTTGTGAGATGCAACACAAAATGAAAAGACTCATCAGTCTTTATCGAGCTTGCAGATCCCTCAAACTGTCCGAAGTTGAATGCTTGGAAGAACTCGCGGCAGATCTCTCTCGGCGTCTCCAAACCTTTGAGCGGTGCCGGAAGCTTCGCTGCTTGCAAAGTTGAGCCTGTAACGCAGCCTTGCACCTTACCACGTAGCCGTTCCACAGTGAGAAGAATGTGGAGTAGCTCCTGCTTGGCGCGTTCGGAGACTTGTTCTGCAAAGGTCTCGTGGTCCAAAAGAAGCAAGACACGAATCTCGCGCAAGCTTGTCGCCTCCATGATTGGTTGAAGCTCCTTCAAGTGGTTCTGCCATGTGTCTACTTTCAGATCACTCACCTTTTGCTTCCAATCCTGCCTCAGATCCGTACTCACACTCGGCCTTGTACTCGGTCTTGCTGTGGACGTTCTTGCCCCAACCTTGGATGTCCGTGGGGTTGGCTCCAATTGCTTGCTTTCCGTTTTCGCATCCTTCTTTGTGGGACTGGAAGCTGACTCCGGTGGCAACTCCTCAAAGGCCTTCCGAAGCTGATCGAGGTCATCGAACACAAGTCTCTCGTTCTGCAAGTGGCATCGCAAAGTTTCACGTCGCACTTTGAGTTGGTGTCCCTTTCCTTCCGGATCGTGTGGATCAATCTGCAAGTTCCAATCCGACTGAAAGGTCTTGGAGTCGAACTGAAACTGCCCAACGCCAGTCAAAAGCAAAGAGCTCTTGTCCTGAACATCGACTCGGGTCCCATGTCCCAGTCATTCAGAGTTCCCAGAAGCATGACACACAAAGACGCGTTCTTTGATGTTGCTGCTTTGGCACCACCTATCACCATTCACCCAACCAGTCTAAAGCAGTTCCCCCAAACCCCCTCAGTGTGACCAAAAGTGACCTCAGCTTGACCACCCCGTCCTTCGCTTGATGAAAGATGAGCTCCAAGGATTGAAGATGCATCTCAGCCGTTGCAACGGTGCCCATCTCAGCCTCCGTTGCGAGGTTGACTTTGAATCCACTGGCATTTTCGATGCTCGACTTCAGGTAGAGGGAGGAGGAACGAAGGGCCATCTTCTCACAAAAGACCTCTCCCTTTTTCAAGAAGCATGAGATCCAGTCGATCCAGCCAGGGACCTTCTCATGATCAAGCAGGGAAGCAAGCAGCACCATCCGCACAAACTCAGACCATTCCTTCTCTGCTTCCTTTTTGTATTCAAATGTGATCTCGGCCCTTTTCACCATGAGGTCAGAGAGCTTCAGAGCCATTTCTCGCTGTTCTAGAATCACCTTGGCCAGCTGGCCACTGAACGAAAGGGTCCACAACTTTTTCGCTTGAAACTTGAGGACCAATTGGTCCACCCTCATGGTCGAAGCCGCTCGGCAAACAGTCATCGTGAACTCGCATTCGGCACGTAACAAATGGCTGTCCAAACGCCCGGACAATGATGCAAACTGATTCTCCGTCTCATCCGGCTCACGCTCTGGTCCCTTGTTGAGCACTCGGCAATGTGCTTCGGTCATCGTGAATCCCAGGCATGTCAATCTCTGCTGAGGTGCAAAGTCCATGGAGAAATGAAAGCCAAAACGAGCATCCGAATCCTTGCCATGTGGCCGTTCATCTGCAAGCTCATCCAAGTTCACTGTCAAGGAAACTTGCTTGCAATCCGGAACTCCCTCGGGAAGCACCTGTTTTGAACGGACGGCGTTTCAGAATCTTGGGTCCAAAACACGTTCAGCACGCCGTCCGTTTGGTCCTGTTTGGTCAAACTCCTGCCTGCACCGCTTCCTTACCCATGAAAGCCTGCAATAGTTTTGTGCAAACGCTTGTGAGATGAAATGTTCGTCCTTTAACAGTGCTGCCACTCTGCATGCAAATGACTTCACCTCAAGCTATCCCCCACCGAGTCAAACTGGTTTGCTGGGACCATTCACGCATTTGCTAACCTTCATCATGTCGTTGCTATTGCTGCTTCAATTGTCGCTGATGTCATTGAGGTCGCTACTGTTTTGCCGGCAATTTTCGTGCTGTCTTTGTCAGCTGTTCTGCTACTGCCGTTTGCTGCCTAGTTGCTATCGCTGTAGCTGTGGTAGTTGTGGTGGTCCCGGTGGTTGCTATGGCGGTTCCTGTGGCTGTCGTTGTCGTTGTCGTTGTTGCTGCTGTTACTCTCACTGTCGCTGTCGCTGTGGTACCTATTGTGAAGCAGTGGCCCTGAACCTTGTGCCTGCTTTATCTCTTGGCTGGCCTGACCATCGTGAATGCAGCAGAGATTCAGGCCTCGTCAGCCCAGAGGACAAGCTGGATCAAATGCGGGAGGCATGTTCAAACATTCTAGAATGAAAGACCAATGTTCCAAGTCAAAGGGAGGGCTTTCCAGCCCTGCAGGATTAAGCCAACTCAATTAAATGGTGGAAAGCGCTGGAAGAGCACATGACCTTGAAGCAATGTAGGGGAGGTGAAGGATAGGGGATAAAGAGTCGTGTCTCATTTGAGTGTCAGCAAAGTGTTTCATTAGAGTGCAAGAAGTGTTTACAAGAAGAGTGTCTTGTGAAGGTGTCTTATGCAGAAGCGAAGTGTCTCACATGATTTTCGCCAACCTGGGTTGCAAATTTTGCAGGACGATGCCTCACCTCAACTGTTGATTCGGCACATCAATTGAACTCCCTTGGCCAAACAGAACCAGTTCACAAAGGGAGACAAACAACGGTACGGTTACCATCCTGCTGAAGACTGCAGGAGCTTGGACAATGGAGACTCCGACAAGCTACCATCTAGCGTGCGAATCGTCATCGAGCAGCGATAAATGATGCAGCGCTGTATCAAATCTTGGCGCAAATCTGTGGTTGCAGCTTGCTGTCGAGCACGTGTCGTCTTGCTTTGGCGACTTCCCCTTGAGGAGGTGCTCCCCACTTCCCCCAAACTCGATCCTGCTCTCGATATGGTTGCCTTAGAGGTGCTCCTTGTCGGCATCAAGTGCTGTCGACTCTGGCTGCTGGCCTTCCCTGGCCTTTGTTGTTGTCCGATTGTGGTTGAGGCTGGTGCTGTTGCTGTTGTTGTGGCTCTTGTCGCTGTTGAAACTGATCTTCTTGCCGATTTAGTTGCTTTCGTTGTTGTGGCTAAGGTTGTGGCTGCTCTCATTCTGCTGTTGTTGGTTGTTGAAACTGTTTTTGTTTGCATTCAGGTCATTGTCATTGCTGCTGTGTTTGCCGTCGTTGTTCCATTGTTGCTGTTGCTGTTGCTGGGGTGATCGTTGGGCGGCGCCAACACGGGAGTGGGATTCTGGCGGGACCAACACTCACCCCATGCGTGGAAGGCCTGTCACTGGGTCGTACGAATCAGGCGATTCTGCTGGGACACAAGCAAATCCTGTTCAAAGGTCATGGGGTCGGGCCAGGAACGTTGCAGGAACACTATCTACCTCAATCCTATCGGATGGGAACAACAAACTGCATTCAGCAACGTGCCTTGAACCCTCATGCAGTTTTGACCACCCTGCCTCCACAGTTGCCTGACCAATGAAAGCCTCCAAGAACGGCTTTGCAAATGCTTGTGAGATAAACTCTTCATCCTTTGCATGCTGCCACTCGGCATTCAAACGGCCATAGGGAAGGTGCCAAAAGAATTCGCAAACCCTGTCCGCCTTGGCCAAACTTCTGACTACACTGCACACCAGTGGCCCTCTCCAGGCCCCAGGATGTGGGTTGGGAGACTGTGTGGAGGTGCGTGATTCGGTTGTGAATCGGACATGAATCGGATGTGATTCGTATGGCCATTAGATTCTGCAAAACAAGGCGGTCCTTTGGCTCTTCTTTAAATATACATTGCATTCGTAGGCATGGACATCCTTTACTCTGGTAAAAGACCGCTATAGCTAGTGGTGGTTTTGTGTTTGGGGATGTACACCCAACTTGGAATCAATCTTGCAGTTGGACCTCTGCAAGATCTGTGTACTGTACACTACCACACATGTGAGAGCATAAATCTGAGAGGGCATAGGAGCATAAGCATGAGGACACACCCGCAACGGACATATCACCATTCAAAGGAACACATATCAGTCAGTAGACTGTATACAGTATACATATGAAAGCACATACATCGCAGCACGCAAAGGAGCACACATACTGCAGCACACAAAGTGCAAAACAGGAGAACCGAAATCAGAACATACAGAGGAGAGCAAACCTGTGAACTCACATACGACGACACACCATCACATACACACAAGCACACCTATAAGCACAACGCTGAGACACAAATGAGCGTGCAGAGCGCGCACGCGTACGAGTGCACACATGTGAGCGCACATATGAGGACCACACATATACAGTGCACATATGAGGACACCACATGCGAGTGGATACAAAAGAGCTCACACATGAACTTGCAATCTATGATTCTGTGATGTGGCGAAATGTAGTCTGCTTGTCTGTGAAGAGGTGAAGTGTAGCATGGGGCAAGTTGTGACGTGTGAAGCATAGGGCAGGTAAGATGGTGCATGGTGCATGGAATGTGGTGCTTCCTGATTTGTGCTTGGGCGGCGCGCAGTGGATCTACCCAAATGACACCGCAGCGACAGAGCCAAAATGACATCAATCACAAGCCACGATGACACCCGATGTCATGATAGCATCGATGGCAAACGACCGCAACACAAAGATTGGATGCGTGACGTCGTTTTTTCCCAAGTGCAGCGGAGCATCGGACTGTTCATCCAGTTGCAAGTTGCCCATCAGATACCCAGCTTCGAATTTTGCTCGCTGCTTCACCACGACCGTGGCCGACGATAGGTGCAGTGAGGGCCCGTCCTGCTGGGTTGGTGTCGACCCAACAGCATTGCAAGACCGTGGTACAAACCACGGCCCCGTGATTCACACTCCGGTGGGACAAGAGTAGGACAAAAAACATAAATCACCATCCATAACATTCCATAACTCTTGAAACTGTTGAAACTGCTCGTCAGGAACTCTCTGGGCCTTCAAGCGGACTGTGATGCGTTCTGGAATGCTCAGTCGCAAGACCTCCGGGTTCAAAACACTTTGCTGGTGCACCTGAGCTTTGGCAGCCATGGCTTGTAGCGAACGAAGAATCCTGTTGTAACGTTGGCCGTGAGAAGTCTCCAAGAAACTTCTGAGATCTTGCCCGCTTCCCTCATGGAATCCCAAGCCTTTGGCGCACAAACTCACTTTGTGAACGTGCTTGTGCGCGACTCTGTCCAAGAGCGCTTTGCCTCAGGAAAGGTCTTTCCAAACCACAGAAGTAACCAAGGCTTGTCCCCTGTTGTTCGAGGGTTTGCATCAGTGGTTTAAAGGCACAAAACACCGACAAAGGATGCAGCAAAAATTGCTGTGAAACTGACACTGCAAACTTTACCCAGTCACCAAAGACCAACTCCAACGCTGCTTCTGGACCACTAAATGCTTCCATCGAGGTCAACGCCCTTCGCAAGGTGCGAGCTGTCAGTGGCGCACCGCACACGTGCTGAGCCACATACAGGCGTGTGTTGGGCTCTTCACGAAGCGCTGCCGCATGCAACTCGACCAAGGACTGTGCCAGCAGCTCAGATCGTTGAAATACATCATGTACAACCCCGAGCCCTTTGACGGCTTCCAAGTACGTGTTCTCAATCTCTGACTTGGCATCGGCTGCTTGACATCGCTTCTTGTAAAGCTTGTCGAAGCTTTGGCACTCTATGACAGTACATCTATCGAGAAAGGCGTCTGATAGTCGATTTGCTGTTGGCCTTTGCGGGTCCGCCGTGAAGAAGATCCGAAAGTCACTCCTCACAAGTTCAAAACTGTTGAGGTATCTTCAATGAGTTGGGGGGGGGGCGCGGCCTTGTGGCCAAACACGAAGACGCTCGGGTGAACGGGTGAGACGTCCTGACCGGATGAACGGGCGTTTTGCCATCGTGGCTGCCCAGCTCCAATAGATGTAGTTGGCAAGGCAATGACTCTCCCAGGGAATTGAAGCGTTCGATGGCCTCAGGGGGCGCCATGTTGACATTCTCAATCAACAGCCATGCGTTTTCGCATTGCGTGGCCCGTAGCAAAGGCCCATCGAGAAAGCTCAATCGCCGCTTCGGATCGATCTGCTTCCTGAGGCAAACTCAAACCATGTCTGTTGGACCTTGAAAATCCCTTAAACACCCACATCTTGAGAACAAGAAACAGCCAAATTCAGATGTTGGGGAAAAAGTATGGATTGCTGCCATTGCTGACCTGCACTGAACCTTCGAGGATTGATCTTTTTTCCACAAAAAATATTCCAGAGAAATGGATCTTGCCACGCATGAGTCCTGGCTGGTCTGCTCGATTGTCTGCCCGATTGCCTCCTCACTAGGGCTCCATCATCTTGTTTGTCTCCCCTCTTATTTCCCCACTAGGTGGTTGTCAGGATGTGATCTCCCTTTTTTTGCCTCCTCACCAGGTGGCTGTCACGACCTGATGTCTTGTCTCAAGCTTGCCTCCCTTCTTGTTTACCCACCTGAATGTTGGCGTGCAAACACTATGACCGTCACAGACAGATTTGACCACTTGTCAGCCCAGCAGGCGACATGCAACTTGAGAGAGGAGAGGGTGAACGAAAGGTAGCAGGCAATCACAAGCAACCCTGGTAAAAGTCCATGACGGCGTGAACCGGCGGAGGGGGGATTTGATCCAGGGGGGGCCCCCCCCCGACGAACAGAATCAACTCTTACAGGACCAAACTCAATGCACAATCCCAACTCCTGATTATAATACATTTTTGCTAAAGCAAGGAGAACTCAGGTAGCTCAAGCTACCTTTCGTGACCTTGTACTAGGCGGCTGTGATGGCATCATTCGTTGCTTGTCTCCTTTCATGTCTCCCCCGTGCGGTGGGCAAAGAGCATGCTTGGCAGCGCAACAAAGGGCATGCTTGGGCCGGGGATCTTCAGGTTAAGATTGTTGTCGCAGGTAAGCGCTCAGGAGCTTGCCTTCACCTGTTTGTAGTCGATGCTAGTGAAAAATACAGCCTATAGCTGTAGCTTCATGACCCCCACTATCACTAGCAGCTTCCACACAGGTTTTTGAGCAGCTTCATGACATAAAAGGATCGCCCCAGCCCAACCGAAATGCACCGGCGAGAAAACCGTACCACAGATCTTGCATAGTATATATAATTGGTATTTTTATCCTACTTTTGAGGCTTCAGACCATGTTCTCAGCGTCCCTCAAATCAAGTTATATTGTAGCCCTAGATAGCACCCTAAAGGCTTCGAGGAGCATCCAAAAACTAGTAAACTCTTAAAGACAAGACTTCCCGAGATGAAACAAAAGGAAGCACAGGAAAGCAAAGGGACCACAACCGAGACCTATGACCTCAAGAAGGAGGGACCCACAGCAGCCCGGACTGGGAGACACGAGAAAGAAACAAGAAAAGCACTTCTGAGATACTTAGAATCATTTGAATCATTGAGAGCTCCAGTTGGGGAACATGAACAATCTGAGCAAAAGTCTGCAAATCGAGTTTACCCATCTCACGTGTCACCACGTTTCATGCTGGCCAAGCATCACATCGTCACAGGGCACGCATTCCACGCGCGCATCCGTCAGCAAGGTGCAAACCTTATTATCCACATCGTAGTTCAGGACTGTTCCTCACCAGGGGTGTAACCCAACCCTGCGCACCACCCCATTGACTGGTCATCCCCATGCTATCAACATTACTAAACACTGAGACAATCGCGATGGTCGACGCTCATGATTATTCAAAGTGGAGGAAGATTTAGTAACTAAAATGCCACAAGACTGCGGGAGTAGCAGAATTTGGCTTGAACACTGCTCCTTTCTTTCCATCCAGCAATGGATTGGAGGTGCTCCGTACCTGGACTTTGTCCCCAACCTGGAAGGCATTCCCATCCACCATAAAGGAACCCAGTATATCTGTGGTTGCCGTCTCTGCATGGGCATTGATGCTCACCAGCTCCTTCCCTTGTGCCTTCGCAAAGCTTGTTATGGCTGTGGATTTTCCGCTGCATGCTGGCCCTCTAAGTAAAATGTACGGACCAGCTTCTGTGGCCCATGGCAAGACTTGCTGAAACCATTTCGGAGAACTCGCCACGGCGGAGAACTCACCGGTTCCGCCCGTTCCATCGCGGGTCACGGGTTCGAAGTCACGGTCACTGCGAAGAACTTCCGAGAAGCGCTTTAAGACCTCCTTCGGCTCGTCCTGCTGCTTCTCTTTTCTGCATTTCCTCTGGGCGACCAACTGCGAGTGATGAAGGCGCGCAAGGCGTTGCAAACCCCGAAGGCTCAGCTGACCTGACTTTGCCTCTCCGCTGCGCCCTCCCATCTCCAGGATTGCGCCGATGTGTGCCTCGACGGCCTCACTCGTTTCGACATCCGCCTCTCGTTTCGGGATGTAGAGGCTCTTCAAGATCTCTGCCAAGTCCTCGCTCGGCGCCTTCACGTGCAATGAGCAGGTCAGCCTCAGATTGGTCAGACTCGACGAAGAACATCTTAGAAGGACAATCTGAACATTCATACAATTCTGCTTTGTAGTTTGGCTCGGGTATTGAGATGAGTTCATTCACTCGGCTTGAAATTCTCTGATGGTGTGCGACTCATTCGTACGTTCAAGTTTAACTGCTAGAGAGCACTTTACCTTGTGGTGCCCTGTGCGTTTCAACACTAGCTTTGGGGTTCACAAGTCCTCAATGACCCTAGCGCCCTGGGATATAAAAATCCCTTTGTTCATCCGGTACAAAGTGTGAACCGTCGGCATGGGTTCGTCTCTTCTTTTTGGATCTCAAGCTCAGGCTTGGCCTCTAAATAGTCTAAATAGCTTGGGATACAGCCACAAAAACAATAAGCCTCTTTTTCGACAGGCAACTCCTGGAACCACGGAGGCAGCACACTGCGGCCTCCACCCGTCGTCACTGGGTTCATCGCTGCCACGAAGAGGGGCCGCTTCGGCCGAGGCCCATCGTGGGGCAACTTTAGGACTTCGTCGCGCACCTGGTGGGGCACCGAGAAGAGCAAATTCCAGGGGAGCGATCGGACGCTACGCACGGGGCTCCTGGCCTTACTAGGAACAAGAAGCTACTAGTAACAAGTTTGCATAGATGTCGGTGATGCACAAGAAAAGGTGATACAACTCGTAGCGACCTTTTCGAAATCGAGTCAAAGAAAAACTCTTTGGCGATCTTGAATAGTTGAACGGGCAATGCACTTTTACAGAAGCACTGGGTGCTTGGTCAGAAGCAATAAAATAATTGCAGCATGAGTCACCCAAGTTAGTCCTTGTTTAAGCCAAGTTTAGTCTTTGAAGGCACAAGAACAAAAGAAATTGTCCCTTTTGGACGTGGCCCACCTGCAAGGCTGGGGAGCAGCCTTCTGGATTTAGAACTTGTGAATGTCCCACGACTTCAGCGATCTGGGCCAGCAAGGTCTCATGCAGGAGGTTGACTTCGTCCAAGAGGACGAGAGCACCCTTTCGTACTGCTTCTACCTTGTTGGGAACCAACCACAAGCTCAACAAACACTTGGATATGTTGAGAGAACACAAACGAAAGGATCTCCGAGAGCGCACACGCAAAAGGAAAATCCATGCAAACAAGTTGCCACAAGGCCTTCACGGAACACAAAAATGCTCTTGTCGCTATTCTTTGAGGAAGTATCAGGCAAGGCCATTCCAAAAAGGTCCTCATACGTAGTGCAAGAAGAGCAGCTGATTCGAAGAAAATCTCTACCTAAAAGTGCTGCAGCCACCTGACAGGTCATTGTCTTGCTGGTTCCAGGCTCTCCGATGATGTTCAATATTGGAATCGAATGTACCGCAAAGTGCTCGAGAGCGAAAATACCGGCCGATTCAGACAGGAAATCAAACACCAGCAGGCGCGTAAGGATTTTCTCCATTGGCTCAGTGATTCGTAGCCTTGGTGGGATATGTGGAGACAAGAATGCTGACATCTACCTTCAATGATGGCTGTGGGATGCCCGACTTGGCGAGTCACAATAAACTCAAAAAGTGTTTCACCCGGGTCCACCTAGCACACTCAGGTCTACCAATGTGCCAGACAGCTTGCTTTGCTTGATGTCGTTTCACACCAGAAAGTGAAGGGAGACACCGTCACAGCGATATGACATGACACCAGGTTCACAAGGAACGACAAAGTGAAAACGCGGCGTGTCACATCGATTCGTGTCGGCATGGCATCCGAGCTACTCGCGTGGTAAGTCTGGCCGGTCCTTCTGGAGCTCTGTAGTCAGAACAAGTGTGCGGTCACCGGGCTCGCCGGGCTCGCCGGGCTTGAAGAGCTGCGAGGTCTTCTTCATCAAACGCAGGCACTCTTGCAACTTCATCTCCTCGAGGAAGTCAGCAATGACTTGTCTGATATTGTTTGTCCATATACTGTAAAAGTGCATTTCTCAGAGAATCTTCCTTCAGGACGATTAACTATTTCATACAACGCCCCTAGCTTTTGCTGCAGCTTGTTGCATAACTCCAATGTATGAGTTTTTGTTGTAGAACAATGCGCAATGTTGTCAGGGTTCAGGAAAACTAATAGTAATCCTACAGAAAGAATCACCTCACAAAAACAAAGATGGTTTATGATAATGTTCACCATCCTTGCCCGCATCCAGCCTGGATTTCAGCCGTGGAAGACTGCTTCGACAGAGCAGTTGCCGCGTCCTGAAGCCCAAAAACTCAGAACGAAAGTCCTGAAGACCAAGTTCAAGAGCGAAACACGCTGCTTTCCACCAGCTTGTTCCAGGATGAAGACAAACTAGATGAAG